ATCACATTTTTCCTTTCAGATCAGTCCTGTGGAAGATGGCATGAAGAGCGTTCTTCCAGACTCGCTTCACATCTTTAATGCTATCAGTGGCACGCCAACCAGTGCCACCATCCAGGGCATCCCCAGCTCGTCCTCTGTGGTATGATGCTAACCTGGGTTCACCTTGACCTCAGCAACCCCCACCCCCCCTCCCCACCCCCAATACTCGCCAAGCAGGCATGCCAGTGAAGCCATATTGTCTCTTCTAAACCGAATCCTGCTTCTCTTCTGTCAGCTCAAAGGGAAACTGACAAAAACACAGACAAGTCTGACCACCTCTGACCCTTCTCAGTGGACCATGACCAAGGCAATGGACCTTTCTATCATATATAGTAGGCATGGTAACTGTGCTGGGTGTGGCCAATTAAATTTTCCTGTGAGATTACTGAGGTGAGGCCCTGAGAGCTGAGGGGTCCGTCAATGAGAGATGACAGGACACAGACCCTGCTTCACGGCCAGACATAATGTGTGATGAGACAAACCTGCCTCCACCTTACCTGTTTCTACCTGAAAAGACTGGGACGTTTTTTTTCCATGGAGACATTCCTGTTGGGACCTTTATTATGCATGTCGTTACAATACACCCACAGCCCATTTGTGTTCATTTTGAAAATGTTTCACATTATGTTTTTTATGTACAGTATTCCACTTTTATAAGCCACTGTATTGATGTCTTGATGAACAGTATATGCTGCATACATCGACGCTCACCTCCCTGTACATGAAGTTATATTTCTACAAAAATGCAAATTTGCAAAAGGGCCTCCTATGTTAGCATTCAACCTTAAATCACTTCAATGTCTTAGAGCCGAAGAGTTTTTAAATATTTAAAGCCATTGCATACAAAAAATATATTCCAAGTTGTTTATTAATGTATATAAAGGAGTGTGTGCAATATTTGCAAAGTATCTTGCTGTGTGGGGCTTATACACTGTAAAGAAATGTTCACCTTCTTGCCAAAGCGATGAGGTGTGGAACCAAACACTACGCCTACTGTGGGAGGAATATGAAGCTTTTACCATTTTAGTGTTGATTGAAATGTTCAAGAAATTGTTTTATATTTGGGCAGCGATGGGTTTTTTTATTTTTATTTAACACAAATTCACTGTCCTGCTGTAAACAGAGATGTTCCCTTATGCTTTTCTTTTAAATAAAATGCACTCATTTCTCTGCACTTGTACTCATGAGTCCTTATTCATTTACTCTTTTATTAATGTTTGTTCTTGTGTTCACTCTTACATTTGCAGTTGTAAAGTTCTAGGGAATTAATACCTTTTATGAGTTTTCAGGGGCTGAGCATATTGGACTTCCTATCTTCTATATCTCATGTTCCCACCCACCATAAAAGCAACACTGTCAGCAGTGTGAAAGACAGATCAAGGGCTAATAAGAAGCAATATTACATGACACACTCCCACTGTCACTGGTGAACAGGGAAGGATAAATTATCAACTGCTCCCTGGAAGAATCTCAAAGGAATATCCAACTACAGTGGAAAGCAGGCAGCAACGTCACTAAGACATCATGACAGGTGAGTTTTAGTGCGTTTTCATTCAAATCCACAAAAAGTAAATATATATGTAGACACCAGTTGCACACTCTTACTTGCCGCTGTGCTGTCTCTTTACTCCAAACTGGAAAGTTGGGGTGGAGGGAGGAAAGAACAAGAGAAAAATACAACTTGGAAGAAGTTGCAGCATTTGTCTCTTTTCATGGAAAAGGGATGGTTGTTTAAACTAGCTTCATCTTGTGCACAGATAAGGAGGATCCCAAGAAAGGGAAGGAGAAGAGAGGAACGGTAAAGTACTTCATTTATTTAATTTATTGAATGTTTGTGTAGTTTATGTTTTTAATTGTTCAGTGAGACTAAATGATAATCCATAGGAACAAAGTAACCGCTCTCTCAATATTCCATTCGCTTTAATGCTGCTATAAGTTCCTGAATACCAAGCACCACTTAAGTACAGTTTGGAGGTAGGCTACTTGTGTTTTACGTGAGTAATTCCATATATTCCATGCTTTACTTTTTATGACATTTATCTTACAATTATAGTTACTGGTTACTTTTCAGACTATGAATTAACTTACACAAAAATATGAAAAAAAAATGTTTTAAGAAATGGGTTTCACCTTGACCATGGACAATAAAATAAAGTACTGCTTACATTTTAGTCAATCAACAAGAATGATCCAATAATATGATATAACATGGCAGGGACCATTAAGCACTATTGGAACTTTTTCCTTTGATAAATATAGTCACTTGTTGAAAGTAACCAAGTAAATTTACTCAGGTACTGTACTTAAATACAAGTTTGAGTTAACTGTACAATACTTGAGTATTTTCGATTTTTATACTTATATTCAACTGCATTTCAGAGGGGAGTATTGTACTTTTTACTGCACTGTAATTATTTGATAACTTGAGACACTACTTATTTTTTAGATTCGGATTAATAAGGAAAAATACAATCAACAAATAATTATGATGTAATATTAGTAGAATATATAAAGTTATCAAAATTTGTTCCACCTTCACCAGCGGCAGCATTTAAGTGATGCACATGTTAATGCATCACCAATTATCATTGATTAATATATATACATTATTCTGAAATGGGCCATTCTGCAGGATGAATCATTTTAATTCTGGTATTTTAAGTATATTTTGATGCTTTTACTTAAGTCAGATTTTGAATGCAAGATTTTTACTTTTTTTTATAGTGTGGTATTTACACTTTTACTTCAGTAAATGATCTAAATACTTCATCCAGCGCTGCTAAACACCATGCTGCTGTTTGTTTTGTCCATCAGAGCAAAGAGGTGTGTGGCTACCCACTCAGCATCTTCTTCATCGTTGTGAACGAGTTCTGTGAGAGGTTCTCATACTATGGAATGCGAGGTGAGAATATTTAGTACCAGATTGCAAACCACCTGATTACTTTTGTAACCATAATGAGGAAACTCTCCCAACCGTCCTTAAACCATCCTTTTCCCTGCCTGTCCACAGCTGTGCTTGTGCTGTACTTCAAGTACTTCTTGCGTTGGGACGATGACTTGGCCACTTCCATCTACCACACCTTTGTGGCTCTGTGCTACCTCACCCCTATCCTCGGAGCCATTGTGGCTGACTCCTGGCTGGGAAAGTTTAAGTAAGCAACTGTCTCAGGTTCTTTTGATATATGCATAGAGGTTAGAATTATTTACATAGGTATGCAAGTTGTTTTAGAGGATAACTTTATCACATTTGTGGAAGTATACTACACAATTGTGTGTGTTCACTGTTATACAAACAACTACAGCAGAAAAATATGCATACAGTAAACATTTAATTAAAAAGGGTTAAGGTTGTGTTGTACTGATACCTTTATTTAAGTAATGGATTTAAGTACTTCTTCCACCATTGCTCATCTCTTTTCCTCTCTCTCCCTCAGGACTATCATCTACTTGTCCATTGTCTATGCAATTGGCCAGGTTGCAATGGCTGTCAGCGCAATCCATGACATCACTGACACGGACAGAGATGGCACACCAGACAACATGACCTTTCATGTGTGAGTTTCTACTCTACTCCAGAAATAATTGAGTCAAAATCCAGGACACAGCATTTGAGCAGGCAGTTTTCATCACATATTTTGAACTCCTTGCTCATGCACGTGTTCTTCTTCACATTCAGTGTGTTGTCCATGGTGGGTCTCTTCCTCATCGCCCTCGGCACAGGTGGCATCAAACCTTGTGTGGCTGCCTTCGGTGGAGACCAGTTTAGTGACCACCAGGTTAGAAGATTGCCTCTCTTCTGCTCCTATCTTAGGAATCTTCTCCTGTAATGTTTAACATTGACCATGACGTTGAATGTGTAATTGCAACATCCACTATCAAAATATAGGCACTAAACACTAATATTATAAAAGGTCTAAAGCCATGGTAGTGGCTCTTTGAGACTGCACTCAGGCACAGCTGGACTTTGAGCTTAATGCTCAAAAACATCAGCATGCTAACAAGATCACAATGACAGTGCTAGGATTCTGGTGTTTAGCAGGTATAATATTTAGCATGTTTGCTATCTTAGTTTAACTTGTTAGTGTGCAAACATTTGCTAATTTATCCTCTGGGAACCATGGATACCTGAACCAAATTCCATGACAATTCATCCAATAGTTGTAGAGATATTTCAAAGTGATGGACTAAATGACAAACCGACTTTGCTATCCCTTGAGCCATGTTGCTTACGAGACGGAAGTCACTAAACTATATTTCTCTGTGCAGGACAGGCAAAGGAGAACTTTCTTCTCTGTATTCTACCTGTGCATCAATGGTGGGAGTCTCCTATCAACCATCATCACTCCAATCCTCAGAGGTAGAAATGAGTAGGACCTAAAGTTTATGACAAACAGTGCCATACTTCATTCATATGTGTGCATGTTGTGCATGATAATCATTAACAAAAGTCCTTAAATATGAGATTATTTTAACATGTAGTTGAATGACAATTGTTTGTCTCCATCTGCAGCTCAAGATTGTGGCATCCACAGTCAGCAGAAGTGTTATTCTCTGGCCTTCGGTGTCCCTGCAGCACTAATGCTGGTTGCCCTTGGTATGTTTAAACATATTTGGAGACTGCAATTCTATGAATAAAGCAGAAATTTAAAGGTTTGGTACATAATATATACTGTATATTGATACTGATGTTTTGCCTGTGATGCCCCTAACAGTGGTGTTTATCGTCGGGAGTGGTATGTACTACAAAGCTGAACCACAGGGAAACATCATGCTGGATGTGTGTAAATGCATTGGGGTGAGTGTGGTTTAGACCATTTGCATCAACACATTTTGCATTAACGTGTGCCAACAGCGGTTATAGGTGTCTCTAAAAACATCTCTCTCTCTCACTTTGCTCTTCTCTCAATCAGTTTGCCATTAAAAACCGCTACAGGCACAGAAGCAATCAATACCCAAAGAGGCAGCACTGGATGGACTGGGCTGAGGAAAAATATGATGTACGTTTCACTTTATTTAATTCTTTAAAGTGTCTAACATGCTGTTTCTTCAGTAAAGTAATGGCTTGTTTTTCTGTGATGTAGAAACTCCTCATTGCTCAAATCAAAATGGTGCTGAAGGTCCTCTTTTTATACATCCCACTGCCGATGTTTTGGACACTATTTGACCAAAAGGTACCTTAAAGTTATGTTACATTATAATTGGCAGCATCATTGTTAGGTGTGGAAACTGTGCTAAATTTTGCATTTGTCTTAAAGGGCTCTAGATGGACTCTGCAAGCTACCACCATGAATGGATACTTTGTAAGTTTGGTGATGAAACCAATATAAACATATATTTACCTAATTCCAGCAATGTGGTTATGTTCTAATGACTTCTTTGTGTCTGCAGGGGAGCCTTGTTATACAGCCTGATCAGATGCAGGTAAGTTAAAAGAATCTTTATCATGTTAGCTTGAACTGATGTGATGCACTGTATTTGAGAAAATTCTCACCGTGCACTTTATGTTTCTGAAAAGACTGTCAACCCCATCCTGATCTTGACTCTGGTGCCTATCATGGACAGCGTAATCTACCCTCTGATCAACAAATGTGGCCTGAACTTCACGTAAGTATTCCTAAAACTATATCTGTCGGTCCTTTATAGGATGATTAAATAACTCCATAGGATTATTCAATAACATTTACTTAACATTTAGTTAGTAAGTGTGTTGGTTACCTTTGGAAAGAGCAAGACCAACTGTTTCCCTGTTTTTCAGTCTTTGTGTTAAGTTGAGCTAATCAGCTGCTAGCTGTAACTTCATATTTAGCGTACAGCCTGGAGAGAGGTACTGCTCTTTTCATATAATTTGCAGAAGAAAGTAAATAAGTGGATTTTCCAAAATGTCAAACTAGTACTCAACAATGGAGGACAGTATGAGTGAAAAAGCAGTGTCATCAGACTGACTGATATATTTCTCAGCATCTGAATACAAGGCCAGACTGAATCAGGCCCACAGCAATCATGTCAATGTTGAAAATGCTGGTATTACAGTGATGGAAATTCTTATTCCTGTATTAACATTAAGACATTTACTGCTGTAATTTCTTTCAATTGATATAAAAAATAGTAACAGAACTTTATGTTAATTCAACAGACCTCTGAAAAGAATGACAGTGGGGATGCTTCTGGCAGCTATAGCTTTTGTCTGTGCTGCTCTGGTTCAGATTGAAATTGATGTAAGTAGAAAACAATTATTGTGTTCATCTTCTTATATACTGTAAAATACAAATCAGCTTAGAGATTTATTTATTTCAAGTTCTCATTTTTACTTTTTTTTTTTAAATCTAATTTTCAGAAAACATTGCCCACCTTCCCATCAACATCCCAGAGTCAGCTGAAACTACTTAACATGGGCAGTGAGACAGTCACAATTAAGATGCCTGGCAATGATCCACTGAATCTTACTGCAGCTCAGGTATGTTCTCTCATCAATAAACATAACACCAAAGTTTGAAATTTTGTAAAAAAAAACATTTGCACGCAAACCAAAACCCCACTGTCAATGTACACATATCCTGACCCCAATGTCTACACAGTTTCAACGATTTCTTTGTTTTGCAGGCCAGTAATGAATACTTCACATTTGAAGCAGGACAAATCAACATTTCAGTTGGACACCCAGAAGTGAGGAATACTATTTCTTTGGCCAAGGGACAGAGACAAACACTTCTCATTCCTTTGACCATCACTGACGAATGGCTGATGGTGAGTGAGACGCACAAAATAATGAAAATATAGACACACAATATCTTTTACTGGTTTAATTAACCAAAATCCATTGTCTTATTTCTTCAGACTGATGATATAACTTCCAAGCCACAAGAAGGCAACAATGCAATCCGGTAAGTTGAATTAAAACTGTTACAAATATACAATTGATTGATCAGTTGACCAACAGAAAATGAATTATTGACTATTGAGATGATCAAATTTCTGTCCGTAATGTTTTTGTTCAATATGTAACAATTTTAGATTCGTAAATGGAATGAAAACAGCAGTGAACGTATCAATACCTGCAGCCAACTTTGGACTAATTGAGCCGTTTTCTTATTCCAACTACTCCCTGATAAAAAATGGAAAGTAAGGATTTTTCATCTTATCTGATTCCCTTTTTTTATTCCAAAATAATTATAGTTTTTTTGCAAATAAAAATACAGTTTATTAAACAGATTTTATTTTCAAATGATCAGGGTCACGTTCACACTATGGAGTGGGTCACAGTCATGTGAATACAGCACGGACTTTGGATTTGGAAGTTCATATACTTTCTTTATTCCCAGCACTTTGGTCTTTGGGCCAAATGTAAGTGTCACATTTATTTCAAATATCATGAATTTCAGAATAGATTGTATATTCTATTAATTTATTTGTGAATATACTGAGAAAAGTTAAATTAGGTCTAACTATATGTATGAATAGTCTGTAATGTTTTTTTCTTTCATCTGGGATATTTCTGACAACTCACATTTGATCCAAGTGAAAAAAAAGCTAATGCTTTAAGTATAAGGATGGTGATGTTCTATATTTTTCCTATTGTGTTATTAATTGATCCTATGATCAAGTATTGTTTGTACAACCAGAGCCTTTTATATCTTATTCCATCTGACAAGCTGGTCTGACGAAGCATACAGGCAACTTTATGCATGTTTTTGTGCTCTGGTAACTATTATGATTTCTATTATGATTATTTCTGTTTTTTATTTTAGTGTCAGGAGTCTATCACTGCTGCAGAAGACATCAAGCCCAATTCAGTTCACATGGCCCTCCAGATCCCACAGTACTTCTTTATAACTGCTGGTGAAGTGATGTTTTCTGTTACTGGTTTGGAGTTCTCCTACTCTCAGGTAAATTTGTTAGAACATCCTCCACTCATGTATTACATTACTGTACCTTCATCCAAGAAAGTATAGGACACATTGATTAGAATATTTAATTTCCTTTGTCCAAAAACTATATAATAGTTCTGTTTAATGTTCTTTGTTTATGGCTTTTTGTTCATTTTATGCTCTTTTGTTTCTTCAAGGCTCCCAGTAACATGAAAGCAGTGCTGCAAGCCGGCTGGTTGTTTACTGTTGCTATTGGCAACTTCATTGTACTGATTGTGGCTGAGCTTGCAAAGCTTCCCAAACAGGTAAAAAAAAAAGTACTCCCACTAATTAAACTCAAAACAACTAATCCTCTGTGACTAAAAGTGATTAAATATTTCTAGTGGACATGTCAGACATACTTGTATTTCAGTGTCATGTAATGACAGTAAAATATGATGATGCATTAATACCATATTTGTCCCTCTATCTCTCACCTCCTCTTTCAAAGTGGGCAGAATATGTCCTCTTTGCCTCTCTCCTGGTTGCAGTGTGTTTCATCTTCTCCATTATGGCCTATTTCTACACCTACATTGACCCTGCAGAAATTGAGGCCCAGTTCAAGAAGAATGTAAATGAAGATGATGAGGACAATAAACACAAACTACAGAAGACAGAGGTTGAGATGAACAAGAGAGACTCAATTAAATGTCATGATGAAGATGATAAAGACAAACAGACCAAAATGTGAACAGTATAAAAAAGCAAGTTAGATATCCGAATTGGTTTTCTATACAAAGTTTGACATCAACATGTGAGGAAGAATGTACAGTAATTCTGCCAGTATTGTGTGTGTGTGTGTGTGTGTGTGTGTGTGTGTATGTGTGCGCAAGTGCGTATGTATGTGTGCGTGTGTGTGTGTGTATGTGTGCGCATGTGCGTATGTATGTGTGCGTGTGTGTGTGTGTACACATATGTGTGTATTTGTGTGTGTGTGTTTTAAATATTTTATATTTTAATGGTAAAATAACTATTGTGAACAAAGAACCCTAAGCTCTTTAACATTATATTCAGTATAACAAATTAATTTAATATAGGCTAAAATATTACAACAACAGCAGATAAATTGCTCTTTTATATTTATGTATAAGTTATGTTCAGGTAAACAATATCAATAAATTTTTGTTGTGTTTTATCATTTCAAATGCTATTTTGAAGTCTTGGACCAAAAACCATTGAGGATGTAATTGTCATTCTTAGCAATCTCTAAGCCTGATATCATCTCTTTAGCTTATAAACGTCTGGGCCATATAAAACTGAATAGTGTTGTTTTTTGCAATAAATGTGTTTGGCTAGTACTGGATAAAAAAACAGTGGTTTCCCTGTGGGGGTCAGCAATGCATACCTTCCATCCAGGCTGTTCCAGAAGATGTGAGCTCCTAAACTGGCAACTGGCTACTGGCTAAAAATAGATTTTTGTAGCTCTTTCAACTGCATGTTCCAATCTGTGGATAGAGTTTACTCAATAAACATTATTGTAAAAAAATGTATTATCAATTTAACAATGTACATGTGATACTAAATTACAAAAAAAATATATTAATATGTGAGAAAAATTGAGTTTATTGCAAACAGTGCCTACTCGTTCACAGGTCATACATAAACCAATAAAATAAAATACCCCAGTGAAAGTGCAAGGAATGTCAGCTTTGGTTTTGTTACAATATCTGCTTAAGTATGGCCATGGTGATTCTTCCTCAGGCGGAGATTAGGCAGATTTATCCATGATGACATTGTAGCTGTGTGACCACAGAGCAACGCCCTTGGCTACACATGCACTATACTAAGGTCAAGTGTGTGGTGTGGACTGCCTGACAAATGCATTGCCTGGACATGTCTTCACAGTGGTCAGGATGTAAGACAGAGAAGCAATGGTAAAATCAATGTCACAAAATTGTCATATTACAATATGGCATGAAAACAAAAAACGGCATAGTATATTAAGGAATAAAATGTCATAAAAACTTCATAGTATAATAAGGCATAAAAACATCATAAAATGTCATAGTATAGTAAGTCTTCATTCAATGGGACAATAACATACGCAAAGCGTTAACAGCGTTTAAGCAGCATCGGCTAATGAAGAATGAGCTCACAAACGTCAACATACATTTGCACTAGTACAAGTAGGACAATGAAGTTAGACATTAACCCCCAAGCTAGCATTTTTCATTAAACAACGTGAACTGCAGAAGAAATGTAGTTAATGCACGGACCCTTGACACCTCTACATCAGACCACATGTGAAGCACCTGTGTGAACGCCCGCCCCGCCCCCCCCCCCTTCAGTGACGTGTGTTGGTTTACGAATGACGGTATGTGTACGGTCTCCTCCGATTGGGCCCCCGGAAAATGAAAATGACATTAACCAAGATGGCGCCGGGCGACAGAGAAAAGTGATGAGAGAATAGAACAACAAGCGATACAACTATATAACAGTGTGCATCTATTTACCTTGTGCGACTATTTCAGACCAAACGTCTACCTTACCATCGGGAAACTGCCAACCACCTGCTGAGAGACCGCATCCGGAGATATAATTATTCAGCTAACTGTTTGCTAACTAGCTGCTAAAGTAGCTAGCCCAGCTAACCTTAGCTAACTGCGGAAGGCGAGTGTGGAGAGGGCAGGCAGCTCGAAGTACAAGCCGACAAGTCAAGCTAGTTTCTTTTAAAACCAAGCGACATCTCCGTTTGATACATTAACCAGCTTGCAATACGGATCAGATCATCCAAGCAAACGGTCTGTGAGGAAACTAACGTAGGACCTCTGATAAGGCAAGCAGAAAAGACGAGGAAAGGCGTCATCTTTGCCGATTTGACGCCATGGCTCACTCTCCTATTCAGAGTGGACTGCCGGGGATTCAGGTAAATATTTTATTTTATCACATTAAAAGCTAACTTTCAGAGGCAAGTTCATTTGGGTAAAAGTGACCGACAGTTTACTTCACGTTTCCTCTAATCTTTAGCATGGAAGTTGAAGTATCTGCCCCTAAATAACTTTATCTACCGTTACAGGAACACTGTATCAACATCATGTTTACCACTATCAACCTTTGCTTTATAGTAATATATGCACTTACTTACCAAAGTCCAGAATGACTGTATACCATCTGATTTATCAATTATCTATTATCAAATGTAAAGTTACTAAATAAAATGCTATGAAATCATAAATATGCTCTGTATTCTGTTGACTGAGCGTACTCCCAATTTATAAACATCCATGCATCCATTATTGGGGAAAAGTACCCATTACAGTTTTTTTGTATCAAAGTTGATGTATCCACGTTACTGTGTTGTGTGACCAACCCTGCAAAAGATATTCAATTTATTGTAATTTAAAACAAGGAAAAGCAGCAAATTCGAAGAGAGGATGGAAACATCAAACATATACGCTTGAAAAATAACAATTTTCTTTTTTCTCTCTGATCAACCAGTTGATTAATTGACCTATGTGAATTCACTGATTGCTTCAGCTTTAATCATTTCTGAGACCTGAACTGATGCTCCACGTGCAGTATACTGTGTGTTTTACTTCCTTCAGTTGGTGATATATCATGTCATGAGCCCTGGTTATCATTTGTAATATAGTACACCTATTCAGTTTGATTAGGGTTGCAGCTAAGCTTATCTTTTTAATGTTGATAAATTTGGCAATTATTTTGTCGATTACTCAGTTATTTATTTGGTACATTAAGAGTTATAGTGAAGCCCAATGTGTTGTCAATTAACAGCTGCAACTGCAACCACTGATGTATTATCTCAGGATAAACACTACAGCAGCATATGGGGGTCCTAAAACAATCAATATTGATTAATGTGGCAGTTTTATAGGTCTATAAAAGTAAAAAAAATAGTGAATCCCCATCATAAAAAGATCATGTCTTTTTAAATTATTAATTTTGTCAAGACAATCCGGAAAAATTTTCAATTTACAGTTTTATGAAATTAAGAAATGCAGCGAGTCTTCAGATTTCAGAAGCTTGGACCAGAGCATGTTTGGAATTTATGCTCATTAAATTAATCATATCATTAATTGATTTTGACATAGTTGTAATTTAATAATATTTCAATCCACTAATCAATGAATCAATTGGTTCAGTTCAGCACTAATGTTATCATATTGGTTTTTCTCTCCCATCAACACCGAAGAATCTTAAAATATTCAGTTAACTGTCACAAGAAAATAGTTGCTGATTTAATATTCTTCCGATTGACTAATTGATTAATTGGCTTGTGGTTTCAGCTTTAGTTTTGACCCAGACATTAGTTCAAAAATGTTTAGCAATTCAGTATACTTGCATTTTTATGGCCTGCTAAAGGTATAATAGCTTGAAGAATGTTTGTTTTTTTATTTTATTTGTTTATTTGTTTGTTTTTGATTGTTTTTTTTTTGTTTTCTTTTCTGGATAGTCTTATGTTAAACTTTAACTATTTTTGATTTGAACCAGCCACTAGCTTGCAGTCAGCACGTGCCCTGGTTGAAGAGTATGTATAAAGTAGGCCACATTACAGTCCATAAAAGACAACCTCCTCGGGTGACATAACCAAGAGATGCATGAATATTCCATTGATAGCACACAATATAGCTATTTTTCTTGAATTATGAATTCTTTATTAACCCATGCACAGACTAATACAGGTTGAGAGGGGAAACAGTAGATCTGGACCCACAGGTTACCATGCAGAGGGGTGTTAGCAGTTGGAGAACTGGCAGTGAGCCTTCAACCCTGAGGGTGTGGTGCGTGGATGACACTAGACTACACAGTTGTGTAGCGCAGATGGGAGAGCATCAAACACATGCTTTTAGAGCGAGGTTCGGGGAGCTTTAGTTGTCGGAGTAAACCTGCTGACTGTGTATATGGCAAGTACATTCCCATCATGTGTAGTCTGTGGTCACAGTGCCCTTGTTGTTTTTCCCATTGTTTTTACAGAGGTCAGCCTCGACATTATAATTTTCACCTGGATGACTGACCACACCAGTGTTATGATAGTATTTTGGTTGTGTTGTTTCTACTCTGCTTTATTCTGCACCGCTCTGCCTCTTTGTCTTTGATGTAAAGTCCCTTTGCTATCAAATTCAGCAGCCAGTTTTTCAGAGTACAGCTGCTCATCACAGCTGCTCATCTCCCCTTCCATATTGGTTTGACCACCATGCATTAGCGCTTTTACAGGAAACTATTCTCTGGAGGGACTCTAAAGCAATATACTGCATGAGCCAACAGATCATCCTTCTAGGGCAGGGTTACCTGGTAAATTAAGCATCAGACTTAATTGCATTTTAATTTTTCTGATTAATTTAAAAATATACATACTTTAATAAACAATGCAACCTTTTCCAGTATAGACTTATTTTTGTACTACTTTTATCATGGAAAATATGGCAGTACAAACACTGCTCAGGCAGTTTAGGCAAATGATTGCAATGCATGAAGGGAAATTAAAGTGGCCAACTTGAAGACCATTACTCCCTCTCTGGTGCTCCATGGGGAAATAAGCCATTTAGTTCAGTCAATCAGTCAGGGTGTAGTCCTTGAGTCCCTGTTTAGCCTTTATGGGAGAGGTCATTAAGCCTTAGTTACGTCTATGTTACACTGTCTCATGATTTAATTGTTACTCAAAGCCACACAGTTTAGTGTGAAAGGATTAAAACGTTAGGCTGCTTGTTTGTTTGTTTGTCAACAAAGGAT